TTTGCCCCTTCTGAATAATCAAGGCTCCTGTGGACTCACCACCTGCAGGAGGTTTTGTCAGCCTCTTTAAAGAATCGCTCCATTTCCCTGAAATGTTTATCCTTTCCAAAGATTCCTCCCACTTTGCAAATTTGCAAGACAGAAGATCGTGAACAGATCATCGACACAAGCGCAAATATAGAGACTTTTAGAGATTTGAATAAAGACTGTTCACAATTCCTTAGGGAAGCCCCCAAGAAAATCTGGGTCCCTCCAAAACTTTCCTAACTGATGCCTTCCACAAATTCCCAACAACTGCCATTGTGCTTGACAAAAATACCTCCCATTAATCTCCCATTGAACAAAGTTGACCAGCACAGTTTTGCAATGCCAAAAATACCCCTATTTCATCACAAAGTCACAACACAGGGGATGCATCAGACCACAAAAGCTGAGGAAGATCTGGGAGAAGCCAATTTGAGAAGCAAGTGGGTCTGTCCCATTTTGCCTAAAAGCAAGATAGAAGGGACTCAAATTATTGAAATGTGTGGCTTTAAACTTGATACTCGACCACCGTCCCAGCCCCGTCCCAACACTCCACTCCCCTCCACTCCCCTCCAAGAACAAAAAATGTCCAAGTTACATGGAATTTTGAAAGCAGAAGAACTTGAATAATTGTTAATAATTAACAAAATGATTATGTTCAGTTGTGTTTTTTGTGATTAACACAGACAGGCAGGCAGAGACAGACAGACACAGGCAGGCAGAGACGGACACACACAGACAGACAGGCAGAGACAGACACACACAGGCAGACAGGCAGAGACAGACACACACAGACAGACAGACAGAGATAGACACACAGACACACACACACACTCACACACAATGTCAATTATTTCATTTTCTCTGTGGACAGGAGTGTGATCAGGAACTGCCACAGCGTCATCAGCGCCTTCAGCATCAGCACCACCAGCACCAGCTGTGGCTGCTGCATCATCTTCAGCAGCACCTTCCCCACCTACCGCTCCCGTGAAGCCCCCCCCATTGCTCCAGGCTACGGACAGGCCTGCACTGGGGGCCTCTCAACCACCTCCGTCTCCACCAAAGACTCCTTCCATGGACCCGGTTTGGGTCCCCCCCGCCACATCCACTCCATCTAAGGAACATGAGGACGACCTTTCCCTGTGTTTTCCATCACTATTGGATTTACCCGAACACTCTGCAGGCATGATAAGATCGGTGATGAAGACTATTCCTCTCACACCCACTGTAGCCAGATCAAGGGTCCTATCTAACATGCATAACTTCTCCCCATACGTACCTCCAAAGCCACCTAGGGCGTCCAACTCAAATTCACCCGCAAAATCCACCCGTCCCTCCCCTAACCCCAAAACCATTCCAGCCCCACCCCCACCCCCCCCCTCGTTTAGCCAACCTTCTCCCTAGCCCATCACCAAGAACCCCTCCACCTCCACTCCCCCCTCGTCCAACACCCAAGAACCACCCCCCCCCCATTTGAATATGTGTCTTTTAAAATACAACAAAAACAATCTGCTCCAATACTCTTCATTGTCCTATACAAGCCACCGCAGTCATGTCACAGTTTTATTGATAATTTTACCGAGCTGCTTTCAGTTGTATGCACAGATTTTGATAGTTTAGTTATTACAGGTGATTTTAATATTCATGTGGATAATGTTAATGACAGAAATGCAAAAGAGCTGAGTTCTTTACTTGATACCTTTGGTCTCACTCAGCACGTGAGTGGCCCCACCCACAGCAGAGGGCACACTCTAGATCTGTTAGTTACTAAGGGGGTGAATATTTCAAATGTAGACGTGGTCGATGTTGCTCTTTTGGATCATTTCTGTGTATTTTTTGACATGTGTTTCACTAACAAACCACCAGTGAACTCTGCAACTGCAATCGAAGAAGACACATAAATGAAAATACGAGTGAACTATTTATGGGAATGATAAACTTTGAAAATGCATCGTATTCTACTGTAGATGAACTGTTTAACTCTGTCACCTCTAGTGTTTTGAATGTTCTGGATACCGTTGCCCCTGTGAAGGTTAAAATAGTGAAAAATAAGCAGAAGGCGCCGTGGGCTAAAGCAGACTCGGTCAGAGCACTGAAGAGAAAGTGCCGGAGGGCCGAGCGGAAGTGGCGCAAGTCCAACCTCCAGGTTGATTACAAGATATTCAAGGATAAGTTGTACGAGTCTAACCAGGTGCTACGTAGTACGAGAGAAAGGTATTTTTCTGAAATGATTGAAGGCTGCAGCAACAATCTGCGTGTTCTGTTTTCAACAGTTAATAGATTAACAAACCCCCCTGTTCAGATGCCATTAGAGCTTACTTCCAAACGTAAATGCAATGAGTTTGCACACTTTTTCAATGACAAGGTTCAAGGCATCAAAAACGCCATTGTCTCCAATCCACAGATAACAATCCAACAGCCAGAAAGGCTCTCTGAGCTAACTCACTTTGCACCTGTAGATGATAAAAATGTCCAAGAGATAATCTCCAGTTTGAGCTCCTCCACATGCAGCCTGGATGTACTACCCACTAGATTTCTGAAGTCTGTTCTGAGCAGTCTGTTACCTTCACTCACACAGATAGTAAACATGTCCCTTCATTCTGGAATATTCCCAAAGGCCCTGAAAACTGCAGTCATCAGGCCCCTGCTAAAAAAGAGCAGTCTGGATGCTACGGTACTTAACAACTATCGTCCCATCTCAAATCTGCCATTTATGGGGAAAGTCCTTGAAAAAGTTGTCTACCTACAGCTTACTAGATTTCTTATAATCAACAACTCATTTGATATGTTTCAGTCCGGCTTTAGACCCCACCACAGCATTGAGACTGCTCTCGTTAAGGTTACAAACGATATCCGGCTGAACACTGACGCAGGCCAAGTCTCAATCTTAATCTTGTTAGATCTAAGTGCTGCCTTTGACACCGTCGACCATGAGATCCTCTTACAGAGACTAGAGGACTGGGTTGGCGTCACTGGCACCGCCCTAAGTTGGTTTAGGTCTTACCTTGAAGACAGGAAGTACTTTGTGGAGATTGGAAACTGTGTCTCAGATCATATGGCCCTGACCTGTGGAGTACCACAGGGGTCGATCTTGGGACCTCTTCTGTTCAATCTCTACATGCTGCCGTTAGGTCAGTTAATACGCAGAAACAAAGTGTCCTATCATAACTATGCAGACGACACTCAGATCTATGTCTCACTGACTGCAGGAGAACATGGACCAGTGGACTCACTCCTTCACTGTATCCAACAGATCAGTGAGTGGATGCAAAACAACTTCCTTTAGCTAAACGCAGACAAAACTGAAATGATTGTCTTTGGTCCCCAGAAACAAAGAGAGAGCGTCATCTGTCATCTACAGTCTCTCTCCCTAAAACCTTCAAACAAGGTCAGAAATCTAGGGGTAATACTGGACTCAGACTTAAATTTTAATAGCCACATCAAATCAGTAACATCAGCAGCTTTTTACCATCTAAAAAACATTGTCAGGATCAAAAACATAGTGTCTAAAGCAGACTTGGAGATTCTTATCCATGCATTTGTCTCCAGTAGGTTAGACTACTGCAATGGCCTGCTCACAGGTCTGTCCAAACAGGCTGTAAAACAGCTGCAGTACATTCAAAATGCAGCAGCTCGAGTCCTGACTAGAACCAGGAAGTACGACCACATTAGTCCAGTCCTCAGGTCTCTGCACTGGCTTCCTGTGGCTCAGAGAATAGACTTTAAAACAGCTCTGCTTGTGTACAAATCTCTCCATGGCCTCGCACCAAAATATATTAGTGACATGTTAGTACAATACGAACCAGCCCGGACTCTGAGGAGCACAGGGACTGGACTCCTGTTAGTGCCCAGAGTCAGAACTAAACATGGGGAGGCTGCTTTTCAGATTCAGGCTGCTAAAATCTGGAACAATCTTCCTGAAGATGTGAGACAGGCCTCCTCTCTGACAATGTTTAAAACTAGGTTAAAGACGGTTCTGTTTAGCTGTGCATACAACTGAGGGATTTTACATTTTTATCTTTCTTTTTAATGTTCTGTGATTTATGATTTTAATGCTTTCTTGTTTTGTTCAGCACTTTGAGTTGCCTTGTGTATGAATTGTGCTATACAAATAAACTTGCCTTGCCTTGCCTTGCCTATTCCACTTTCCAATGCAATAAGATCAAAGCTGACATTTTGTGGTTCATGACAATAGTCAGCAAAAATAGGTTTATGTCTCATTAATAAACTTTACGCTGTATAAAAAACTGCCAACCGACGTCAGGATAAGAGGAACCGAGTTCATACCTTTTACACTGCTAAATACATTGAACAGCGGCAGAATGTTACCAGTGAAGCTACAGTCTGTGTCAGAGTTAAGATGAGATTCTTTATCCACATCATAGATGGATAATCATCAATCATCACAATCCACAAACACACCCACCTTCACTGGACACAACTGCACAAAAAAAACTACACAAAGGTTGTCTGATGTTTAATAATCACTATTGTACATGTGGAGTAAACAGTAATTACGACAATAATAATAATAATGCAATGGTTTTAAATAGTGCTTTTCAGGACACTCAAAGTCACTTCATTTGTCATTATTCTTTCACTCCAAACACGATGGTAATTGGCAACTATTGTAGTAGTTAGCCTGAGAACACAACAGCAGTTTGACACTTTACAGCCGTAGCCGCTCTCCTGGTGTTCTCAGAGGTCTCCCATCACAGTGCTACCCAGGTCCTGCCCTCCAGTTTCAGAAGTCTGACGGGATCTGATTTTCGCATGCAAGTATGACCACCAGTATCATTTTTGTACAGTTCTTCTAGTTCCCAATCTGTATTTTCTTTGATCTGAACCTCAAAATAACATTTTCCTTTCCATTTCGGTTGTCTGGCAGATTCTTTCTTTGGTCACGGTCATGAAGTTGTTTGAGCTCTTAAGACAGAACTAATTGTGGATGTGCTGTGTTTGGATCCAGAGACACCTCAGCTGCAGCTTTCCATTTTTCCTTTAAATAACGTCTCCATCTCAATATTCAGATCTTTCCTCAGCTCAGACACAGCTGTGGCCCCTGACGCCTTGTACGAGGGGGTCCTGATGGTCTTGATGGTCCAGTCGTTGAGCAGTGGAGCGGGTTTGACTGTAGTGAAGGTTTGGACAAAGGGCTCCAGAGCTCCTCTCTGCTCCATCTCTGTCTGGATTATCTTGAAAAGCTGAGATGCCTCCTCCTCACTCTTTTTAGGCTTTTCTACAATGCTTTGTTGAACACACTCCATCAAAGCGTTGAGATTCACCTTCTTAAATTTCTGTCTGCATTTTTCCGACTTTCACCAGTCTTTCTTTGATGTGTAGCTTCAGTGTGTAGCTTAAGACAGTATTATGCTTTGTCTCCTCTGTATAACTGCACTGAACGCACATGAAGTGGGAGTGGTCCCTACATCGACCTCATCACTACATAGACCGCAGAATCAAAGAAGTCAAAGTAGCATCTTATAGTCTTGCAAGTACTTCATATGAACAGTATATCAGAATAAAACCACAGGGTACAAATAAAAAAGTCCACACCACGACATACACTTTACTTGATCAAATTCTCAAACCAAACTATGTAAATTTGAAAGTGAAAATGATGAAATAAATGAGAGAAAATGTTTTGAAGTGAGATCACCTCTTGTATGCACTGTTGTGAAAAGTGCAAGGGGTGATTTTGTGTTCTGAACAGAGATCCAGTTGAACAAATGTACATCAGATAAACAGCCAATGTTTCAAAAATGTCTTTATAAATATACAATGTTGCTCTCTTCTAACGGAAAGCAATGGCCATTCTACGTTTGCATATATGGCCTGTAGAGCAGAGAGAAAAGTTGCATACTCCATCATCTATACAGAGAAATGTGGCATGAACATCTTATTACCGGCAGTTGAGTGCAATGCAGGCTTTGTTCTGCAATAGAATTAAAATGTAAAATTTTCTTAGAAAATGAAGAGACAATTGCAGACGCAGGAGGGTAAAAGGACAGTTGTGATGATCCAGGAGATTTATGGACATTGGTCATCTCACTAGAAGCTCTTATGTGTTGATCTGATTTGTGATGGTTAGATAAATAGATAGATACTTTAATGAGAAATTCAGGTTTCCAGTAGTGGCAGACACACATCCGTCCATACAAACAAAACAAACAAATACATCATTCTGGATGCATAATGATTTAGAACTTTGTATAGGCCTTTGAGGTGACTGTTGGGCTTTTTAAAATAAAATGGAATTTAGTTGAAATGTTATACCACATCTAACACAGACAATAAATCTATGGTCACACTGCAGAGCCAAAATCGCACCAGTTGGCTGGAGTTGGAGCCAACAACATTGAACTCATTATGTGAATGCACTATTACTGAACCATGAGGAAGTCATCGTCACAGTTTATTTAACCATGGTGGAAGTAATGCATATTTACAAACATGACTCTCTCGGTCCAAGAGGCCTCTGCACACCACACACACTTGAAAGGAAACCCCTAAATACAGAGGAAATAGCAGATAACACATTTCATATGGGAAAAGTAAGAGTCAATATAAACAGGTTTCAGTGATTATGGAAGTGTTTTTCAACCACTGGGCTGTGGGTCATTAGTGTGCCATAGGCCTCGTTCAGACAGAGACAATGCGACAGTAAAACGTTGGAGTTGGGTATCGGTTTGGCCTCTTGTTTACGTTAAGACAGTGTTTCAGCTGAAAACGCAACGGGGTTGTTGCACAGGCGTATGCAGAAAAAGGTGTGAATTCTTTGCCTGCTATGACCTCCACGTTCCCGCACGTACATTTGGAAATGCACAGTAGCCGGGAACAAACATAAACAACAATGGCGGCGGGTACTCTAAGTAGCTACGAGGAATTCTACTCCTTCGTTTGTTCAAAGAAAAACCCTGCAAAGCTGTAGTTGCAGTTTCCATTTTCACCGCTGCTGTTAAATGCAGAATGATGTTGGATGTTGCATTCTTTCAGGTCTTTGCATTGGCCTGAGGAGGATGGTGTTGGGGAAGTGGTTGTCCTGCTGGGGGTCATGCAGGACTACCTAACTATATTCCTTTTTGAAGCCATCCAAACGCTCTGCAGGAGCCATGTCTTTTTTGCTCATTGCTTTGTTGTTTGTTGTGCCTTTAGAAAAGACCCAATATCACCTGATTGGTCAAAATAATGTGAAAAGAAAAGAATGTAGGAAGACTTTTTTGCGCTGTTGTGATTTCCAGTACTGCACACTTTGACGAGAATTACTTTCCATTCAGAGTTTCAGTTTTGTCTCAGGTTCAGCTGGTGTGATTTTTAACACTGGTTTGTTTAGCCTCACACATGTGTTTAAACATGAATCTGCACTCTTAAATGTCTATTGTGTGTAGCTATATAATTTAATTTTTATGCTTTCTTTGCATCAATGAAAGAATAATGACATGTGAAGTGTCTTTGAGTGTCCTGGGAAGTGCTACATAACCCCTAAGCATAATGATTATTATTACTATTATTATAGATCAGTTTATGTTCAATCAATGAACAATTGTAGGTCTCGACTAAATTCCAGGATTTCCTCTGAGATTTAATTGAAAAAGCTTCATAATATTGGAAAATTGCATCTGTAAAATCTTCTTGTGCCACCTGGATGCCAAAGCCAGATCCTGTTTGACCTCTGAAGCTGACCAGGACAGACATGTATGACCTGAATGAGTGTGAAGTTTGTGAATGTTTGGTGGTGGTTGGAGAGGCTGATGGCACAGTCTGGTTGGCTCACAGCTGTGGCAGCTGTGGCTACAACAGTAATTATCACCATCGTATTTAGAGTGAATGAATAATCATGCATCATTATTATCAAGACATCCTTTATTTTCCCACATTGGGGAAATGTCAGTGTTGCATCACAAGTTACAGAGAAAAAGGAATGAGGACCACAAAACACAAGACAAGCAAAAACTAACTATAGCACAACTCGTCAAAAATGTGTTTATTTCCCTGACATACAGTATATCAAGCCTTTTTATTGTTATTATGTTGATAATATGGCGTACATTTATAAACTCTAATTTACTGGGTTTTTACAATCAGAACTTATGTCGAATTCTCGTCTAAACTTAGAAGCACAGCTAACCACAGTAAACAAAAGCATGGCTTACTATTACAATCCCAATTTGATGTTGTCTTGCAACCTGAAAAGTCACTAGTCATTTTGAAGTGTGAGTGAGATTTTTGGGTTTAAATGTAAGGAGTAAAAGCAAAAGTCAAAATTAGATTATTGTTCAAAAGTAATTTACTAAAGAGAGTCCTTTATTTGTCATTATGTTGATGAATATGGCTCAAAGCTTGTAAGCCCCCCAAAAAACATCTCAGAAAATAAGAATATTTTGAAAATGGAAACTGAATGCCAAAATTGGTAACATTATTACAAAAAAAGGCTTGGCAAATTTTTACTTTGCATAAATGTATCTCATGTATTGGTTCACTGAGTTTCACCTGTGTGTAGCAAAGTGAAGTGCTGTTACTGGGAAAAAGCACTTAAGTTCAGTTCTAGTAAAACTTCTTGCCACCACCGCACCTGTCACAGAGTCGGATTTACAAAATGTTACGTTTTTTATAGTGAGTTATTAAAAAATCCTTGAGATAAGCTAATGACCCGTCCACTTATACCATGACATGACAAAAACCTAGAGTTACCAAGCAACACAAGCTCAGGGATTAGACTCAGAACATTCATAGTCAGTGTGGAAGGATGGTGGGGGTATGTTTTGACTTTCTGACCTTCATTTCTTTCAGGTTGTGCTTTTAGAAGATTACAGGGAGACAGCAAAGTGGTCAATGAGTCAGAGATCGGAGATATGGTGGGCTTTACTTTATCCAGGAAGTGACATTGGCATATGCCGCTATAAAAGTGAGACCACAGCAGTAGATTTCATTAGCAGGGCCGCTTCTCAACATGGTAACGTATATCTGACGTTGTTTTGATGATTCTTTTGAGTTGAATTGTTGCGTTGAACACTGTTTTGTCTCTCCAGGTTACTCCAGCAGCAAGGACCGCTGTAAAATTCAGAGGGGTGTCAGTTCTTTTGCTGACTTCCTGTCTGTATTTAGTGGACACTTTCTCCCACGGCGCCGGTATTATCAATATTTATTCCGATTTCCATGTTATATGTCTTGATTTAATTTCCAATCCCAAATGACTCCTTTGTAGCTGGATGTGAGGAGTGCTCACCCAAGAAGAGCATAGTTTTCCCAAAGGAGGATGTGTATCAGTGTATGGGTTGCTGCTTCTCGAGAGCTTATCCCACACCGTTGAGGACCATAAAGACTATGGCCAACCCCAAGAACATCACATCGGAGGCAACATGTTGTGTTGCAATGAAAAGTCACTCGGTAAATAAAAGTGTATTTGTTACAGGCTATTGGACCCTATCATTATAGACAACTATTTCACTTTTTTTACAGACAGAGGTGATGGGCATTCGGGTAAGGAACCATACAGCGTGCCACTGTAGTAACTGCTATTTTCATAAAGTTTAATAAAGTTCATATGGTTGAAGGATCTTCATGCTTTGCTAGTTTACTTAGAAGTTTCTTGTAACAGGGCTTACTTTATTTAGTCATACATTGTTTTTTGGGGGAAGTCCTCATTGATCATGTGTTTTTGTTGTAGTTGTTTGCTTTAATTTTATGTAGTTAAATAAAATGAAACAATTAAAATACACCCAGTCATCCAGACATTTGTGAATTTCTACCACCCACCACTCACACCACCTAATTCTACGTCTGTGTTCAAAAGTAGAGGCTAAACGCATGGGAAAGGTATACCAATAAGTTAAAAAAATAAGAATAGAAAAGATTGATCAAGGATCCATGGACAGATTGTGGAGATGATGTTGTGCCCAGAGCCACGATGACAAGACCTCACATTGATATCAAATATATGGTCACATATATCAATGGGCAGGACTGGCTCTATCGACCCGCCCCTCCCCCCTTACGTGCGCGTGCGTGTGCAGCTCTGGCAGCGTAACATCTGTGCGTGCGCGCTCGTGATTGTTGTGAAGATGGCGGAGGGGGAGACTGAGAAGGAAAATGATAGAAGGATAGCTTTTGATGAGCTTCGAGGACGGTTTGAGGCATTGACCAGTGTTCTAGAGCAGAATGCAGATTCTCCGCTGGAGGCCACGCTGCGGTTCTGCCAGGACTTCTGCCAGGTTAGCCCCATTGTATGAGCCACACGGCGCCCTCATCCTGCAGCCACAGACCCTCTGGCTTCCTGGCCGAGGATGCGCGTCAACGTTTGCTATAACAATGTAGCTAAGGCGTTAGCACAGCAGCTAATTGGCTAGCTATTCACGAATGTATTTTCTTCGATGTCTTATTCGTGGCCTTCGTAATGGCTGCGCGCACTTTGTCAGTGCTGTACAAAGCAGAGCCGTGCGTGTGCGCGGCGTGTGTTCTGTCTGTATTTTCCAGGCGAAAAGCTCAAATCTGATCAATGCTGCTAACTGGTATGCGGGGTGCTCAGTCCTGTTCATGCAGCTGTAGCTGGGCTGGAATGGACACGGCAGCAATGTGGTTCTGTTCTGTGTGCGCTGAATGCATGGTGATATACTTATTACACAGCTGTAACACTGTTTATTACGTTGCATAAACACCGACTCTGCGTGATTTTTCCGTACTTCTTGGCTACTTTGCTTCAGAAATGAATTCCATGTTTTGCAGTTCATTGTATTAATTCGTCAAACCTCAATGTGTGCTCATGTGGATGTTTTCAGTCTTCTGGGCTTTGTCGCCAGGTTAAATGTGTTTGTGGTCTGCGTATAGAGTTTATGTGGCGTCTGTCTCTATCACACATTGTTGCTGCTTTTGTTGGAGTTTCGGTCTGTGTTTACGAGATTAAAGAGCAGGTTTTATAAAGTAGAATTTAACAAGTTTTATAAATAACACTTTAGTTTAGTGATGTATTTGATAGTGAGTTAAGTATAGTGCAGCAGAGGGCATTGTTGTCCACAACTAATTTATAATCCAGGTATTAGCTTTTTTACGCTTATAATGTCCATGGTGTATTTTGTTGAACAGGTTCTGGTGGAACATGCTAGTCGCTGGCAAGCAGATGAAGACCCATTGCCTCAGCTACAGGTCTACACTGTGGCCATCCTCAACTTTGCAAAGGCCGTCTCCAATCTTTCTAGCGAATGTGAAAATGTTCCACTTCTACTTGAAAAATTAGCACAGTAAGTACAACATGTCTTATATTTACAGTACACATGTTTAAACAATGGTAATTTGTTTATAGTTGCTTGCTAATGCTGAGAGGTTAATTATAGATCTGTGCCCGCCTCACTTTAAATGTGTATATGTGCAAATAAAATCAATCAATACACAGTTGTTAACCTTCATTGTTGCTGTGTTTCCAGGAGCTGTGTGGAGCTGCTGTTCCTGTTGCCACAGCATGTACCTGGGGCCTTATGGGAGGAGTTTCAGTCCTCTATCACTGTGAGTACCATTGTTACTAGCCATTTATAATGCCCATATAGCTGGAGAATTTCAACTAAACATGTCTTTCAGATGGCACACAAGCTTTTGCAAGAAAGTGGGAGCACGCAGCTCAGCCTCCTGGCTGTTATCGCACAGCAGGAAGGTGTCTGGTCCAACACTACACTCTGCAGCATATTAGCTAATGACACTTCACAGACTGAGAAAGGTAGGCAAGTTTGTTCACCAAAGAACACAACACAGTTCTATTCACTTGTAAATATACATTCACAACACATTGTTGATTGATTATTTCTTACCCAACACACTTCATCTTTGGAGAGACCCCTGGGGTGCTTACAAATAGTTTTAATGACGTGTTGATTGCTGACAGAGAAATGTAAACATGTTGATATTATATTGTTATTGCTAATTTTCTGATTCCTTTTTTCTAGTACACACATTTTTGGAGCTTGAAGGTCCGAAGCTTCTGACAATGCGAATAAAGCACCTTATCAAAATGAACAGTGTTGAAAAAGCGGCCTATCTGGCAAAGACGTGCTCTGAATATCCTGCATTGGAAGGAAAAGGAACCTTCAAACAATGCTACCTTCTCTGCATCTGCGCAACAAAAACCCAGGAGCAGCTGATGGATGAGGTCTCAGTTTTGTGAATTTTAAAAAAAAGTTTTAATTCACCAACACAACAGCATATTTTAGTGTAAACATCGTCTTGTCCTTTGCTTCTTAAATCAGATTGCATCAATAGACTGTAAAGAGGCTCTAGACATGATCTGCAACTTGGAGTCTGAAGGAGATGAGAAAGGAGCTCTGTGCATCTGCTCGGCTTTTCTTAAGCGCCAACTTCTCCAAGGAGATATGGATTGTGCCTGGTAAAATATCATCATTTATATGCAAATATTTAAATAGTGCTACTCTTTGGCCTAACTAACTTCAACAATTTGACTCTATTTGACTGTTTATTTTTTTTTTCAGGGAACTTACTCTTTTTTGGAGTAAATTACTAATTCGTCGTGACCCTTCAGCTGATGCATTTCTTGGTCGCTGTAAAGAAATGGCAACGTTATGCCGAAGTGTCTGTCACATTCTCTTTCTTATCAAAGTCATCCAAAGTGAAGTAAGTTAGACATTAAGTTTATTTATATGTGATGTTTTAAAAGGGCTCATGCTTTGGGCGTAGATCTGACTGCCAATCCCCGACCCAAAAATAGATTAAGGGGTAGAAAATTGATGGATGGGTTTAAAAATACATTGTTATTTTTAAGTAAATTAAATGTGTACTTTGTATTTTATTACAGATTGGAGAGGTGGGACTCCCAGTGTGCATGGAAATGTGCATTCAAGCCCTCAAAATGTCCCCAAGTGACCACAAAGAAAGCAAATCTTCCATTTGCAAAACGATATCCTGCCTTTTGCCGAGTGATCTGGAGGTGAAACGTGCATGTCAGCTCACAGAGTTCCTGATCCAACCTACAGTGGACACGTATTATGCTGTAGAGACATCTTACAATGAGCCCGATAAAAAGCCTGAGGAGGACGAGGACCGCCCAATGCCCAATTCATTACGCTGTGAGTTACTTTTGGCCTTGAAAACTCAGTGGCCTTTCGATCCAGAATTCTGGGACTGGAAAACGTTAAAACACAACTGTTTAACGCTGATGGGGGACGAGGCAAGTATAGTGTCGTCTATTGATACGCTTAACGATACCGATGATCCAGAAGCAGAAAGTGGACTTGGAAAGCTCCCGGAATACAAAGACCTGGAGGAGTATATGCTCACTACAACTAACGAACTCAATGAAATATCAGATGAAAAGGAGAAAAACAGAGAGGCCAAAAAGCTTAGAGAACAAGGTTTTGTGTCAGCCCGTTTCAGAAATTGGCGAGCCTACATGCAGTATTGTGTACTATGCGATAAGGAATTCTTGGGACACCGGATCGTTCGCCACGCTCAAAAGCATTTTAAAGACGGTATGTATTTATGTCCCATTTGTGCAAACAGTTATGAAAGTAGGGAGACGTTAGAGCCACATGTAGCATCTCACGTGAAGCAGTCCTGTAAAGAGAGACTTGCAGCATTGAAAACCTCAAGACCGCCTCAGCCACATTCAATCAACGCTACTAATAACTTAATCAAACCTGAGAACGATAGTGAGGTGGATAACAAAGCTGTCAGTGTAGAACCGCCCCCGCAGGACTCAAGCCAGGATTGTCTCTGCCCCGTTGCGAACTGTGCCAAAGCATTCAAGTTTTTCCGTAACCTCATGGCTCATGTCCGATCTCATAAAGACGACGAAGAAGCCATGCGTTTTTTAGAGATACAAAAGCAGAAAGTAGTGTGCCAGTATTGCCGGCGTCAATTTGTTAACGTTCAGCATTTAAACGATCATTTGCAAATACACTGCGGCACCAAGCCGTACATCTGCATACAGTTGGATTGCACGGCCACTTTCAACTCCAATTCCGAACTCCTCATGCATCGGAGAGTACACACCGAATTCAAAGCCAAGTGTATGTTCCCCAACTGTGGGCAGATCTTTAGCGAAGCCTATCTTTTGTATGACCACGAAGCACAGCATTATCTAACCTACACATGCTCTACCGATAATTGTGGACGAGTATTCTATTCACAGGAACAGTTTTTGTTTCACCAACAGGTACACAATCCATATGTGCCTGCAAATGTACGAATTGAAAATCCTCCAAACACCCAACCCCCAATAAACTGCAAACAGGAGAAAGAATTTGCAGCTACAAGTTATGTGGAAAAAATAAACTCTGACATGTCTACAGACCAGAGTCAAGGCAGCGCGTCGTCTTGCACTACGCCTGATCTCATCAAAGAACCAGTTAAAGTAAAACATTCTGTTGAAAAGATGCTAAATTGTATGGGAGAGAGCGAAGGCAAAGAACCAGACAAAAGTAACACGCCTCTGAGGGATCCCACTCCAGTTCCATCTGATCCGAGCTGTGCGACTGAGATCCAAGAGGTGAATCCCAGAGCTGCAGAAAGTGAAACGCTCCCACCGCCGTATCCTGGAGCAAGAAACACAATGAATGTCCAACAAAAGGATATAAAGAATGAATTTCATAAAGCAATCCCCCAACCAATCGCTCCTGATCAAATCAAAATTGAAATTCCGTCTTCGCTCCAAGATTATATTCCCAGTACCAATTCTAGTAATGGCGATGAATACTGTTGCCCAGCTAGTGAGTGCGGAAGATCGTACAGCACAAATAAAAGTCTATCTCGACATGTCAAGAAACAACATCCTGAAATGTTTGAGGACTGGAAGCTGGCTAAAAAGTATACCAAAGCTGCGAGAAAATCATCTAAAAAGGCAGCAGCTAAATTACAATCAGGAATACTGTGCAATAAACCCGAAATGCAACAAGTCGATTCCCATCCAGGCTGCTCCTCCTCTTTTAACCAGTGTTATCCGAACTCAATGGAGCCAGTGCCTATCACTCCGATGGTAAATCCATCTTTATACCCGTCTTGGGGCAGCTCCAACCACTCTGGAATGCCGCCTGACGCGTCTCGGCCTTGGTCCTCCCCTCCTTCCAATAACTGCTACTCCGACTATCCCACACGCAACTACTCGCACTGGCAACAAGACCAATATCAAACAGCTGAAAAGGATTTGTCTGTAGCAGGTCAAGGCAGAGCGGTATCACAAAGCCCCTGCGATTCCAGTTTAATGTCACAGTATTTGTCCAGTTCTTTGATGCTTGACAATGGAGGGCAAATGCACAATGGCGCGCACCAATATGGGCTCGTGTGTCCCGGAAGCAGTGTTAGCAGCTCAAGAGGGGATATTGTGAAAAATAGCACAGACATGAATGAAAACAGTATTTCAACAGTCGACACACTAAACGATGGAAGTTATCCGAACTCGCACACTCCAAATTCTTGTCTCACTCAGAGCTCCTCCAATGACGGGCCAATAAAATCCACAAGTCCAAATGCTGAGAAGCTTTTACAAGCAGATGAAGTAGAGAAAACAGATGATTCTTCACAGCCTCATTGTGAACCTTTAGACAATTCCGTCGATGGAATGAGTCAGAAAAGCAGTAACCACACAGATGATGAGTGCCCTGATGATGACTGTGAGATTTCAGATGAAAACAAAGAACCAGACAGGCAAAAGAAATCCATTGAGTTGAGTATGCGGCCCAAGTCACCAGCTAAATTCAAAGAAGGAAAAGTTATATGTAAGAAATGTTTTATTGAGTTCACAAGCACAGAGGGTCTAAATATTCACCTGTCTAAAAGCACTCAGTGCAAGGGGTTGGATGAGATAGACCTTACCGCAGATCTTCCAATGTCTTTTCTTGATTTCCTCAATGACCCGCTTGTCCCTGACGCAAACAGCTCCGTGTGCAGTATGGCAAATGGACATTTCTCACAGGAATCTTGTAACTTTGCAACTTTGTCCCCTATGCCACTTAAACAGGAACCGCTCAACACATACTGCTCACAATATTCTCCTACAAACCAAGCCAACCAACACTTGACTGATCTGAATTCTTTCCATAAGTTTGAGCCGAGGCCACAGCAAAGAGAAAATGATTTTAACTTTGAACAAACCGTGCATGGTGATCCACCCTCTGTGGAGCCACCACAAGAGAAGAAGGTGAAACCATTTAAATGTGACCAGGAGGATTGTGAATATGCCTTTATGACAAAAGAAGCCTTGTTCAAACATTTAACAAAAATGCATGATTACACTAATGAGATGATTGAAGAAATAAAACGCACGCCATCCAAATTGTCCCCATATCCATGCCAGATCTGCACCAAAACCTTTACCCGAACCACTGGTTTGCGAATTCATTATGAAAAAGTCCATCGCCTTTCTCGCGAGGATATGCAGAGGCTAAAGATAAGAGCCCGAAACAAGCGACCACACAAACCTGACAAGAACGATGGCGCAATTTGCCGTAGTATTCCAGATATCTGCGTCAATCCAACGGTAGTGGCCAATAATGCAGTCATGGCAGTTAAACCAGAACTCCTGGACGTTGCCATTGCATCTCCTCCGTACCGTACACAAGAACCAGTTCCACGCGCATTTCCAGCACCGGGGCATGGGGAAACAGGAGGATACGAGATGTCCACTGTCACTCAACTTCCCCCAGCTCCACCACAAAACTATTTCAACGATTTGACTGTTCCAATCCTTCCTATTGACGCGCCCGAAGCTGCAGTTATAACAAGTCTCGAAAGCCCGATGAGGAGCCCAGGTGCAAAAGAAAGGAAGAGGCATTCTGATTGGTCACTTCAATGCACTAAAGAAGCAGGGTATGCCTCTCCAGAGAGGCCAAGCAGCTCCAAATACATGCACAACAACGGGGAGACATCCAAGAAGGAAAACACGCCGAAGAAGTCGGGGCCTAAAATGTGCGAACTTGATATCTACAGCCCTTACCGACCGTATCGCTGTGTCCACGGCGGCTGCACTGCCGCGTTTACCATCCAGCAAAATTTAATACTGCATTACAGGGCTATGCACCAGGAGTCTTTGCCCTTGTCTATGGTCGAAGCCGAGCAGAATGAGTCGAGCAATTTTGAAGACGGTTTGGAGAAAGAACCAGAAGTGAGGTGCCAAGTGAAGAACTGTTCGCGAGGTTTCGATGGAGTACCAACTTTAGTGCAGCATTACCTCCTGCTCCACAAGTACAGCCGCGACAAAACCACGTCTGTGATGGCAAACATGAACATCGGGGAATTCAATTGCAACCGCCCCGATTGCGAGCTGCCGTTTAGTTCAGTGGAAGAATATATTGAGCACATCAGGCATGTTCATAAAGAAATCGCAATCTCCGAAAGTGGTCTGGCAGACGTGACATTCAAGTGTGAATACGAAGGGTGTTGCCGCGTCTACAGCACAAAATCAAACCTGCTGCGACATCTGATTAAAAAGCACGGTTTTGTGTACGACCCGAAAGTTAACGATGGCCGAAAGAACAAGACAGCGGCGGCAGCGCTGTTTCCTTTTTCATGTAGCGAAAAGGAACATCTGGAGAAACCAGTCAAGACAAAAGATGCAATCAAAAACAAGGAAGCGAAACGCCCCGAGGTTAAGCGCTGGGCAAGTTTTGAAAGTCTGAACTTGAAAACGCGGGAGGAGGCATCCGCCGCGTGCATTAAGAACTTTGTCGTGCAATACCCGTGCATGATAGTCGGCTGCGATGTTTCAACTAGAGCAGAAAGAGATATTTTGGATCATTACACTGCTCATAATATTGCAGAAAACACTGTTCAGGAACACAAGGAACACCTCCTCTTCCTCAGAAAATACATTTGTACAAATACAAAAAACAATAAAAAGAAATTCAAAAAAAAGAAAAGAGTCGTTCAGCCAGTGCCCCCATCTCCAACTAAAGCGCCTGAGCAAGAGAGTGTAGAGAACGTGTGCGAAGAGAAGCAACCCGTGCTCATGGACAGTCAAAGCCAAGACAACTCAGTCGTAAAGGAAAATCTTGCCGAGAGGCCATCTTCAGCTGAGGTTAAAGGTAAGAAAAGTGGACGGCCCAAAAAAACACCTCAGACAGTGCAACCCGTGGAGCAGGGTTCACCGGAAACAAGGACACTAAGAAATCGCAGCACAGCACTCAGCTGGAGAGACCGCTTACTGTCAGACACTCGAGGGGTCCGAGGTCAAAAGCCTGTCAAAACCTTAGGGGTGGAGGACAATCTTAACAAAATCTTAAGGACCTCAAAAACATCCCAAGCTTCCAAACGCAAACAAAACGACGTGATTATCTGTGACGTTCCTTCCAAAAAACAACCAACGCAAAAACACAAGCCTGCCATCAAATTGAAAGTGAATTGTCAAATAACTCAAGAAGAAAGACCGCAAGAAGAAAGACCGCAAGAAAATGACGACGACCATATAGTTGTTTTCAAAAATCCAGTGAAACTTAAATTTGTAAACAATGTAAGCATAGTAATGGATGAGACATTTTCACACAGTGCAGACACATTGTTAAAGCAGCTACAAGAAATGAAGCCCTTGGTGGTTCTTAAGAAGTCGATCCACAGTGGGTCGTGAGAAAAGGCTTACAATACAATTTCCCTCAGGACTTCCGATGTTTGCTGCAGAATGGATGGTTTGTCAAAGAATCGCTCTCATTCTCATAGTTAACAACAAAATGGCCTTTCTTGTACTTAAAAATGTCTTGAAATTGTTTTATGTATGTATTTTAGCTCAAATAACCAGGTAATCTCTATAGGGCATAGATTTAGATCACTTTGTATTTATGCTTAGAATAAAATATGTTTTATCTTTTCTTTTTTTACTAAACTGAGACTTTTAAGACAAGTATGTTTTATACATCCCTATGGGATTTGACTTTTGTTTGTATTTATTTCATTATTTCTCAACACTAGTCGACCGATCTGTAATATTTACACGTCTTCCACAAAGTGTTCAATAAAATGTCACTGTCTTTTTTATTGTCTTTTGAAACTGGTCAATTTGTTTCATACATTTCTTGATATAGATCTATGTTGAGCTAATGAGCTAACCTGATGTGTTTTGAAAAGTATTTCAGTCATTCTGCCATTAATATCAAACAACGATGCAGGTTATCTGGCGTCAAATTCTATAATACATCTAATTGAACTGTAGGGGGCAGTGATGCTACACACAGAAAGCATCCAGTTTGTGCAGATCCATGGTGCAGCCACGAGGATGATTATGTCTTGAAATTTTGGCAAGCACTTTTCGTCGTCGTGTACATACAGACAATTTATTGGTTAAGCTCGTTGAAGTCAGTGTTGAAGTGGGATAACTGGTTTGCATGCACTTGTTCACATTTTCCACAAGATGGCGCCGACGCTCCAGATTCTTCAGTGTCCTGAGCTCAAGAACCCTTCAGTCTTCCACCAGTTGGGAACATGCTCTTTTTGAAAAAAATATTATATTTATCTTCCTCAGAATCAATGTATCGTAGGCTGTGTGACGCACTGCTCCAGATGTTATTTCTTATGTAATTGTCATTAGCATACAGTACAGACCAAAAGTTTGGACACACTTTCTCATTCAATGAGTTTCTTTTCTTTTCATGACTATTGACTGTAGATTCACACCCAGGAGAGTGGTGGGTGCTGGGCCTCCACAGTCACCGGACCTGAAACCAATCCAGATGGTTTTGGGGTGAGCTGGACCACAGAGTGAAGGTCAAAGGGCTAACAAGTGCTAAGAATCTCTGGAAACTCCTTCAAGACTGTTGGAAGACCAAGGTCACTACCTCTTGAAGCTCATCAAGAGAATAACAAGAGTGTGTGCGAAGCAGTAATCAGAGCAAAAGGTGTGACTTTGAAGAACCGAGAATATAAGACATATAACCCAGCAGTAGGTTTGGGGTTTGGGGTGAGTGTCTCCGGCCCCCATCAGATGGCTGCAGAAGAGGCATCTGTTCAGATGAAGAGGCCAAAGTCCCAGAGCCAAAGTCTACTTCAGTTCAGTCTGTGTAAAAGCTGGTGTCCTCCAGTAGCCCTGCACAGATTTCAGATTTCAACGTGGTTCTGCAACATTCTCCTTATGGAAGTTTATCATTCTCAATTCCAAAGAGGAGCCAAGGCAGGTTTAGGTTTAGGTTTATTAACATTATACCTGATTTGAAACTATACTTTCTCTTATTCTCGTTATTTAACACTTTGCATTTTAGGCTATCTTACATATAATTATTTATTCTTTAAAAGACCACCTAGGATCCATGGAGATCTCAATATAATTATTCATCTTTTTATTTATTTGAAACGGACAAGAGTTCACAATCGACATGTGAAACACGAAAACCTTTATAGCTAAGCCTTTTTTTGCAATATCCGTCTCTAGAAGGGTTTTTAACAAAAGTAAAAACACACCGTTACATTTACATCATACAAAGGCAGGTGTCCCTCAAGTCACAGATGTTCACACAAGAACTTTCTCCCTTCCCAGTTTAAAACCAACCCATTCCAAGTTCAGTTTATGTACATAGGCGACAATGTTGTTGTTTTGTTTCAAACAATCAGCCCATGGATAGGATTATTGTCATCCTGGACCTACTGCAGCTCGAAGCTATCAAGCGGATAAGCAGAGCAAAAAGCTTTTTATTCAAATCACTTCACAAGGGGAAAATAGGCTTATTGCATCTTTAGGACTAAACCACCAGGATGGCTATTCCAGACAATTACACAACAACACATCTCCCTGAATTACATCTATATTTAGACTTTGAGCGGGATGTGAAATGTTTCTGCTGACTTGAGATAGAAGTCTGGCTTATGTCCGTGAGCAGCAGACACGGTGTATGTATTATTGGAGCTAATGATGTTATTATTATTAGTGGTAGTGATTATGTGGAGAATATCAGCGATGACAGGTGACACGCGAAATATACAGCTTGTATGTGTTCGTTTGGATATTATTCAAAGGTTATTTTAGTTCTGTATTTAAACTTAAAATGTGAGACCAAATGATATAAACTCACTACCTGTAAAGTGACATATGCCGAGCTTTAGTTTGTTGCTGATTGTAAATTGCTAATTGTAGCCTACCTTTGTCATTTTTTATTTGGGGTTTTTACAAGCTGTCAACTAGTTATTAACATTATGACAAACAAAGACTGGATACATCTCACTTTCGTTAGTGAGATAGATTAATCAAATTACTTTCAATCTCGCCAATAATGTTGACAGCATCTGCTATATTTTTGAAAAGAAAGAAAACACATTAACATTGGAACTTTGCCTAGATTGAGTATGAATGTACTGTATGCATAAGTGAGTGTGTTTATGTGAATGTACTGTATATACTGTATGTGTCTGTGTGTGCATATTTACCTTTTGCCTTTGTATCATCCCATGACCTGCTAGATTTGTTTCATCAGAACTTTAGTCTGGAGAGACTTGAACAGACAAAACATGGGTATTATTAAAAATGTATATTGGTTGGCAAGTGATTTGACAATATATAAATTACACATATGACTCTATTACTATTTTCAAGATTACATTTATTGTTGTACAGAAATGGTTAGGGGGGCAACAGTAGCTCAGTTGGTAGAGCATTGGCCTTAAGGCCAGAAGGTCGTGGGTTCAATTCCCACCTCTGCACCTTCTCCACCGACTCCCACTGATGACTGCTGTCGTTGTGTCCTTGGGCAAGACACTTAACCCCACTTCGCCCAAAAGCCCCCACTGAAAGATCAAGGCTATGCTCACACTCAGAGAGCAGCCATCCTCCTGTGGACTCACCACCTGCAGAGGGTCAGTGAGGGGCTGGTGCTTTGAGACTTGGGTGGCATCTCTGACTGCCACCCCCCTGACCCAGAAATGGATTAAAGGGTAGAAGATGGATGGGTGGATGGATGGACAGAAAAGGTTAGGATTTTGCGCGTAGACACCGGCAAAGCACTGCACGATTGCAGAAGGGGAAAGAGATTATGAGACGAAATCCCCCGGCCTAGACCCTGGTGGTGGTAGCTAAGAGAAGGAAGAAGAGCTGGCCCAGGACGAAGCGGAGATGGGGAGGAGGAGGGTTGCGGCATGAATGAAGCTGCTGCTTGGATTCTGCGCGATATGAAGCTTGATACAAGTTGACTGATTTGTTTTTACCATGTAACAGCGTGAGAACAATGAGTTGCCTAAAAAAATAACTGCAATACCAACAAACCTGCCTTGCCTTGCCTGACACTGTACTGTGTGTATTATAAGGACCAATCATTCGGACAAAGAAAAGCAGTAGACATGGGTCCCTCGGTGCCTAAGGGGGTGATCAGTGAAGCCAAAGGATGAGACTGCAGGGGCCTTATCGGTGTGGAGTGTGTTCTGCCCAGAGAGAGCCCCAGAACCATGTAGGAGCTGACAAAGGTGTGTGCCGAGATAAGCCCGAGCACGTGCAAGGCAACAAAGAGCGGTCCAAACAGAAGCCTGAAATGGAAGAGCTAGAGGAAGTTAAAAAGGAGATATCTGGCTTTTCTGTTCGCTGGCATCTGTTGTGTTGACGCCGCTGCGAGGATGTCTTCATTTCCTCTTGGAAAGTGCCAGGGAGGGAAGCAGGAGGGATGCAGATTTGTGTCTGGAACGTAGAAGCCAACGCATTATACTTATCTTATGTAAGCCTTGTTTATAATTAATGCAGTCAATTATTCATCGGCCGTTGGTTTTTCGATGTAATTTTTCCAAGAGCTGTGTTGTAAAAAAAAGTATCTGGGCTGGATAAATGCACAATACAACGCTACTTTTAATAAAAATACAGTTTGATCTGTGAAAATTAACAAGAGAGTTTAGAGAAATGTATATATTTTCACTTGGTTTGGGTGCCCGGGTTGAATGTCTGTTAGAAGATAATTTTTACTAAATACAACAACCTTTAGAGAGACATGAGGCTTGAGACCTCTGATGCTAAGCAGGGCAGGGCCTGGTTAGTACTGTGATGGGAGATCTCAAGGAACAACAGGTGCCACAGTGAGCCAAAAATATTGTTGTGTCCTTAGGCAAGAAACTTCTCCCACTTTGTCTAGAATGTGTTCGGTGTGTGCGTGAATGGTTTGTCAGAAGGACTGATGATACATACCGGTTGCTTTGTGTCTGTCTGTGTGCCCCAGGGCAACTGTGGCTACAGTTGTTTCTTCAGTTTTCTTGTCTTTTAGTGTCCAAAGAGTAAAATATAAAACCAATGCATTAATGAATCTTTAGAAATTTAGAAGGAATTGGCTATTTTTTGGTATCTAATTTACTGTAACATCCTGGCAGTAGATCTGGGTTTGAGCATTCCAAAGCATGGCTACCACCGGAACAAAAGGCTCAGTACCCCGTGTTTTGTTTTTGGTCCATGGGAAAGTTAACCAGTGCTGACCTGAATCTGCGACCTGGTACATTTGTGCAGAAGGTCAGACAGCTAGCCTGGAGCCAAGAACCAAGAGCCTGGAGCCAAGAGCCTGGAGCCTGGAGCCTGGAGCCTGGAGCCTGGAGCCTGGAGCCTGGAGCCTGGAGCCTGGAGCCTGGAGCCTGGAGCCTGGAGCCTGGAGCCTGGAGCCTGGAGCCTGGAGCCTGGAGCCTGGAGCCTGGAGCCTGGATCATGGAGCCTAGATTGTTGAGCCTGGATCATTGAGCCTAGCCATGAAGACCTCTATAAGTCAGGGAGATTTGAAAGATTATGAAGTTAATCACATACTGCACAAGTAACCAGTGATGGGTCTGCTAATATTAAGAAATACAGAAATTTAGGATTCTTAATTACCTGCTTTAGCACATGTGATGTTTCATTTTTTATTAAAGAAAGTTGTTTATGTGTTAATTTCAGCAAATCCATAAGTCATGAGACCAATTTAGTGCATGGCATTTCTCCAAAGGAATAGGCCTGTCTGTTCCCATGCTGGGCGCGCCTCATTAGCTCTTCATTAAATCTCCATTTTGCATTGTAAATGGCCGAAAACCTGAGAGAGCCTCCGTGATGAGCTCTCCATCCCTCGCCACAGACGTCATTGATGCTGTTGACCCAGAAAATGTCCCAGGAATGATCAAATATAGATTAAATGCATCTCCCGGCAAAGAAGAGATTCTGGAGGAAGATCAAAAGAGAGGCACATTTGTGGTTTTTGGTTCACAAACATACTACCAGATTTCTCAAGATTCAGGGAAATTGGGACGTTTTTCTGCTGGATGAGTCTCTCTGGGTTTCATTGAAGCTAAAAGGAAGAAGATTGATTCAGTTATGTCATCAATTTCTAATATACTTATGGGGTCATGAATTGCTGCCTCTTTGAACTGTAAGTATCCACCGACAAAGATCCATTTAACCAATTACAAAACACAAGCGGGAAAGTCTAAAATATCTGTTAAAATGATGAAATATGTTACTTAAGTTGATTTTTCTGCCAATGCAACCTCGCTCAAAGTTCACACAGCGGTCAGAAAAAGACGTGATTAAATACTTTTAACCTTTTTAAACCTACTTTTGTCAAAATGCAAAAAGCCAATTGTATTTTTAGGATTTATATGTTTTAAAAAAAAAATGGTTTAACTCTTATCCTGGTTGAAATTCTCCTTTTTGTGATAATTTGCTGCACTGCTACTCTTAAATTCTTCCATATTTTGACAGATTGAAATTCATTTGGTCTTTATGCAGGTAGTATTTTCAATAAAGGACCTTTCCTAATCTGTGAATTTGTCAGAAAAAAGGAGTTTGTTCATTGTATCTTAATTTTCCATAATGTGTTCGCTTCCCAAATGTTAGGTCATTGTTAAACTTCTTTGGTGTTACATTTTTGTCTATTTTACCTGGTTATGGTGTGGACTTTTTCTTGATTTACATTTGCCACATATTTGTTGTGTTGTTTGAGTTGTACTGCCTTCATTTTTTGCCACAGCCTGATTCTTCTTGTTGTCTGTCCATTATTGTTTTCTCCCCATTTCATGTCCATGGTTTCAGTTTTACGATTACACATATTTGTCTTGTGGCGTTCATTAAATTATCCTTTTTTGCAGTTCTGATTTTGGGTTCTCCCTTTTTTATCCTGTCAAATGTTGCAGCTTTTCTTCACATTTCTGCTTCTTCATTTATGTATGTTTTCCAATGTTTCAATGTTGGAATATTTCTTTAGACTATTATGTAAAACAATCTATTTTGTGCACTGAATAAAAACAACTTTGCATAAATGACCTTGAGAGTCCATACTGGCGCCATATAATTACAAATGTATTATTATTATGATCAAAAACAAATGTCTAGTTTCTATGGTAACTACCTCATTCCTATGTCACATCTACATTATAATTCCTGAAGGTCTTCATTTCCTTCAGCATGAATAAAATACATTTAGTTATCGATCCACAACTGCACTGCAAAAAGTGAAAACAAGATTTGCCAATGGGACAAGCATTTTAGCATTTTAGCCATATTTTAAGAACTGTTGTATTTGTTTTATCATTCCAAGGGAGTCATTTTTTGTATCTTTTGAAAACCAGATAATGCTTGTCCCATTGATCAAATCTTGTTTTAAGGCACTCAGAATGTGCCCAAATTCAAACTTATTTTCCATAACTTTTTGCAGTGTGTCAAACCAGGAAGTAGCAGTCAACATCCCTCAATGGTCTCGCCCCTTCATACCTGTCCGAACTTCTAGCAGTTCGTGACTCGGGCAGATCATTGAGGTCATCAAATCAGCTCGTACTGGAAGTGCTCAAGACTCGGTCCAAACATTGGGGTGATCGAGCTTTTTCAGTTGCTGGACCAAACCTCTGGAACAAGCTGCCCCCTGACCTACGCACAATCACTGACTTTGGCCTTTTTATATCCAGACTTAAGACATACTGTATTTATTCAGACTTTAATACTCAGTAGCACAGCGACAATATACAGTAGTTTCTCATGATTTTATGTGACTGTATTATTGTTTTGTTGTATGAATGTTTTTAACAGATTTTATGTGATTTTATTGTAAAGAACTTTGGTCGCCTTGTGTGTTGTAAAGGGCTCTATAAATAAAATTTGACTGATTGATTGAATATCCAACCAAAAAAAAAAAGATACATCTTTTTTATATAGTGCTTTTTTGGACACTCAAAGACGCTTTACATGTCATTATTCATTCCCTCCAAACACGGTGGTGATAAACTACTACTGTAGCCACAGCTGCCCTGGGGCACACTAACAGAAGCGAGGCAACCATTCACACACACACCAGACTCATTCTAGGCAATGGGGGTGAAGTGTCTTGCCTAAGGACACAACGACAGTTTGGCACTTTTACAGCCGCAACCGCCCCACTGTGGCAAGGCCAATGCTCTACCAACTGAGCTACTGTTATCCAAACCAAACCAAATGGAGGAAGAAGCGCCATTTTTCGATCGATGCTAAATACATCCATCTACATACATAGCCTTTAATGCTCCACTGGACTCATTCCAATGTTGGGCCAGCAGGTGATAGAGAAGTTACATAGTCTCCCTTTAACTGTGACGTTTCAAACCTGTGCCGAGTCTGTACACAGCTTTCCTGATATTGCGTCTGCACCTTTGCCAGGGGAGGACTGACAGGTATTCCATCACACCGACGATAGAAATCTAGAAATGCCTCTCAGTCGTCAAGTGCATCACGTCTCTAATAAATGTAGCACTCGTCAGTAATGTTTTCTGCTCCTTTCGCCTTTTCTGCGTTGTTATCCATTAGCTCTGAGGTCATTCATCACTGTGTCCTCTTGCAGAATTGAGCTATCTATTGTCACATCTATTTCCTACAGTAATCTTTTTTGTTTTGGTTTTTTGGGTGGGGAGTGACTGTATCCAACTTGTATTGCCAGTGGTGGAAATGGGGCAAGTAATCCCAGTATATGGTTAATAAATATGCAATGGCCACTGTAGTAAATCAAACCAACTTTTAGCTGAATGACGAATGCTTAATATAAATATATAAATAGTTGTTGAGCAAAAGCATTGCAGGAGTGCTGCACTGGATTGGATAAAAAATATTGAAAAACACTTAGAGGTGCTCGTGCAACCCGTGGGCTTGAGACAACTGTTCCAATGAAAAAAATGGAGGCACTTTGAAAGCTGTGGTTTTTTAATATAAAATTGAGCCAATAAAAGTAGTTGTGTTCCAGCAAATTACGCTATTCTGACTTAAAGCTGACTGATCATCAACCATTCACTCACACACCAAACTCAATGAAGGCCATCTGGGTGGATTTTTGCACTTTATTGCACTTTACAGTCGCCCCACTGTGCCAGAGGTCTCCCATCATAGTACTCACCAGGCCCTGCCCTGCTTTGCTTCTGAGGTCTGACAGGTTAAGGGAAGGGGCCATATTATACATTTATGTAACCAGTGGTGTCATGGTTTAGGTTTTTTTCAAGTTTTAGTCAGTAATTTTCTACCCCTGTATCTTTTGAATTCTACTTCCTGCTTCTCCCTCATGTGTATCACCCGTGGATCTATAATAATAACGTATCACCTGTGTCTCATAGTCTTGTGTATTCTAAACCCTGAGTCATCCTTCACTCC